TTAAATATGCCAAAGAGTATTTCTTTTTCTGGTTTCATCCTATCAGTTGCCTTCATTTGCTTCGATATTTTTTTCTCTCTTTTTTTTTTTTTTTTCAGTTTGACAGCACTTCTCCGCCACACCACCCAAAAGTAATGTTCTCTTGTGTCATCCAGTACGACTGAACGCGCGTAAATGAAACAAAATAACTTGGCTGGCAGGTGAAAATAATAGAAAAGTTCATTCTCTCCGGAAGGTGTTAAAAAAACAAAACAAAACAAAAAAAAACTGAACGTTAATACAGCAGAGTCACTTTTCTTCGAGTACTTTACAAAATTCGAACTACAGTACATCGTAAAATTACTCGATTTTCCGTACTTGCATTAGCCAAATGTGAAACAAAGAAAAACGTTCAAATTATTCGAACATTTTTCAATTAGCTGATGGTGAACCCGTTCTAACTGTTATAGTAGAATACACCTATTCCATAGTTAATAGACTCTCCCACCCATAATAAGTAGGAGTCAGTCAATCGGTGAGTCGATGCCGGACGACAGTTAGTCGAATACTAAAGTATCATCGGCCACAACTAGATTTCTCTGCGACATTACCTATTATATCAAGTTCCTAACGTTTTGTACGTCGAACCTATTTTAGGACCGACTTAGTTCAAATACTAGTCTCCACTGTGAAATCACTCCACAACAATAATTTGGTGACGTGGGATTCGGATACATACGGTGGAAGAAAAAAAATCGTACGCCACATTATTTTGGTGACAAAATTCGTACTCGTACAGAGGAAAAAGAAAGAATTTGCTCGTCACAATAATTTCGGCGACAAAATCTCGAATTCACAAAAAAAAAAAAAAAAAAAAAAACTTGGCAAAGTTTTTCGTAAGACAAGACGTCAACTTAGTGACGAAAAAAATCTGTCGTATTCTCAACTGAGAAAAGAAATTATTTTTCTCGATAATACAGTTTGCTCAAATAGGTCACGAATGGCAAATTCGTAGGACCCCCCCTCTACAATATTTAAGCATTGTGTAAACTTTTTGCGAAGATGGAGGAATGCAAACATATATTCCAGGAATTTTTTAAGTTTCAGTCGGAACAACAGATGGCAATATTAGAGCAACAGAGAACATTCCAGATGCAACTACAGGAGGGAACTTTCAATAGACAAATGCAATTTCAACAAGAAATGGAACAGATGCATAGGGAGTTTCAAAACAAAATTCTGGAAATAACTGAGAAGAGAAAAGAGAAAAATCTACATAATGATTCTTTCCCAGAGAATACAATATGGAATTCAATTGAAATATTCACATACAGTCCAGATGAAGAGATAACTTTTGAAGAGTATTTTAAAAAATATACGGACGTGTATAAATATATTAAGTGAATTATTTAGTAAAAAGACATCTCTGTTTCACAAGAGATGGAAATGTTTGAATCTGATGAAAGATGACGAACAAAACTATATAACGTATGCAGCCAATGTGAACAAGCGTTGTGAAGAATTCAAGCTGACAGACTTAAGCGCAGACAATTTTAAGTGCTTGGTGTTTGTTCAAGGGCTGGTATCAGAAAGAGACGCAGAGTTGAGAAAATTAGTACTGACAAAATTGGAAAGCAATCCAAGTCTTACGATACAGAAGTTGGCAGAAGACTGCACAAGATATATTAGCGTAAAGAAAGATTTAAAAAAAAATAGAACAGTCTGGCGTTTGGCATGTAAGGAAAATATCCTACAAAAAAGAAACTCAGTCTACTAAAAAGAATTCTAAAATTGCGGATTATCAAGCAAAAAATGAAATACCAGAGAAAAATAAACAAAAACTCCCGAAGCCATGTTTTGCTTGCAGTGAACTTCACTGGTACAGATATTGCAATTTTAGGAATAAAAAATGTTTCAACTGTAAAAGAGTGGGTCATAAAAGCTCGCACTGCAGGTCAAAATATAAAGACAATAAAATAAGAAAATTAAAGTCCAATGAGGTGAACGATGGAATAACCAGAAAATTTATTACCGTCGAAATAATTAATAAAAAAATAAAAATGCAACTCGACACTGGTTCCGACCTATCTATCATAAATTTGCATACGTGGAAGAAGTTGGGAAAACCAACGTTAATGAAGACAAAGAAAATCGCAAGGTCAGTGACGGGAGAAAAAATACAATTTATTGGCGAATTTGTTACAAAAGTCACGTTAAATAAAAAAATAAAAAAAGCGAAAAGCTAAACTATTTGTCATAGGAAATACCACGAACTTACTTGGTACGAATTGGATAGCAGAATTCCAATTAAGGGATCTAACGATAAATTCTTTCTATTACAAGGTAGAAAGTTTAAACTCAGAAGCCCAAAAATTAGTAAAGAAACTTAAGGAAACATTTCCTACTGTTTTTTCTCCAGGTTTGGGAACGTGTACCAAGATGGAGACAAAATTCCAGCCAAAAGAAAACGCTCAGGCGGTATTCAAAAAGACAAGAAATGTGCTGTTTGCTTCAATTGAACAGATAGATACAGAATTGGACAGATTAGAGAAAACCGGTGTATTTAAAAAAGTTGAGTGGGTAACACCGACGATATATGTGATAAAAAGGCCCAGAAAGTAAAGATGAAGCCGACACCGAGAAAAACTGGGGAGCGAGTTACCCGCAGCCAAAGACATGCTGTATTATTAAATGATTTAAGTCAACTGAAGTCACCACAGAAAACGTCAAGAAGCATAAGATCAACAAAAGGGAAGCTAGAGGCTGAACAAATAGAACCACAAGAAGGGCTAGGTACCTCTAAGTATAGCTTTTCTCACTTGTGACTCTCTCCTTTGACGCAGTCGTCCCTGAGTGCACTCTGCCCAAAGACGCAACTGAGACATGATAGATAAACGAGTTACAAACTACTCGAGAGTAGTTTACACACTAAATGATATTCTAAGCGTGGCTTAGATGTGGCACAAGGTCGTAAGTATGCGAAACCCAGTGAGGATCGAACTCACTTCTCAGTCGTAATTTTTCTAGCGAGACAAGCTTACTATCAATTACACCGTCTACAGGTGCCCATCGTCTGTTTTACTGAAATGGAAAAAGTTGTCAGTTTCAATTTTTTTCATTTGTACCCTCTTACTTCTTAAAATAACGATTAGCATTCATATTTATGATTGTTATTGCGATATTTTGTTAAAGTTGTTAAGCTCAAATATTTAATGATGCGATAGGAGAATTACTAGGGATATTTTATTGTCGTGGGCTTAGTCAATCATTAATTGAAGAATCAAGAATTGTCAGCAAAAAGCTAGTTGGATTCAATGAGAAAAAGAAGGTATGTGCGAAAGGAAAGAAGGAAGGAAGGAACGAAGCAAGGAAGGAAGAGGAAAGATGGAAGAAAGGGCGAAAGGAAGGGAAGGATAAAGGTGGAAGAAAGAGGAAGGAAGGAAGGAAGGAAGGAAGGAAGGAAAGAGGAAGGAAGGAATGAAAGAAGGAAGGGGAAGGAAGGGCGCGAGGAAGGTGGAAGGAAGAGTAAGGAAGGAAGGAAAGGAGGAAGGTGGAAGGAAGGGGAAGGAAGGGCGGGAGGAAGGTGGAAGGAAGAGAAAGGAAGGAAGGAAGGAAAGGAGGAAGGTGGAAGGAAGAGAAAGGAAGGAAGGTAAGGAGGAAGGTGGAAGGAAGAGGAATGAAGGAAGAAAGGGGGAAGGAAGGGAGGGATGAAGGAAGGAAGGAAGGAAGGAAGGAAGGAAGGAAGGAAGGGAGGAAGGAAGGAAGGAAAGAGGAAGGAAGAAGAAGGAAGGAATGAAAGAAGGAAGGGGAAGGAAGGGCGGCAGGAAGGTGGAAGGAAGAGTAAGGAAGGAAGGAAAGGAGGAAGGTGGAAGGAAGGGGAAGGAAGGGCGGGAGGAAGGTGGAAGGAAGAGAAAGGAAGGAAGGAAAGGAGGAAGGTGGAAGGAAGAGAAAGGAAGGAAGGTAAGGAGGAAGGTGGAAGGAAGAGGAATGAAGGAAGATAAGGAGGAAGGTGGAAGGAAGAGGAATGAGGGAAGAAAGGGGAAAGGAAGGGAGGGATGATGGAAGGAAGGAAGGAAGGGAGGAAGTTAGAAGGTGAAAGAAAGTGGAAGAATGGAATGAAGGAAGTAAGTGGATGGAAAGGAAGGGAGGAAGTTGGAAGGAAGAGAAACGAAGGAAGGAATGAAGGAAGGAAGGGGGAAGAAAGGAATGAAGGAAGGAAGGAATGACGAGGGAAGGAAAGAAGGAAGGACGGAGGGAAGAGAAATAGAATGGAAGATAGAAGTGTATCAAAACGTTGAAGCCGTTGCATGGTCCGGCCTTCTTCAGGTGGTTGGAAAATCGAACTGAAACATTTATTTCGCTCACTGGGGCAGACTGTTCTAGTTCCACGTGCCACGTCTAATAGATGTCACTTATTAGTTATCTCATGTTACTTCCCCTTTCGAAGTTCTCCACCGCTTATTGAACTCACAACTCCTTGGGTCCTGTCACTGGATCTAACTAACGCCTTTATCCATTGTGCCAAATAAAGGGTTCAGATAGATATTCCAACCACCTGAAGAAGGCCAGAGCGTACAACGGCCGAAACGTTGTCATAAATATGGCAACGAAGATGAGGACAACAGTCCGAATAATGTAAAAAATGTAGATAAAATAATGAACAAAAACATTTAAAATTGTTATTTGATAACATAAATGTCAAATGCCTTGAAGAAAATTATTTATTTCTTGAGTCTTTTTCGAAAATTTAGCTATTCTGTTATCCGGAATTTGAATTTTCCGAACATTTCTTTTAAGCCCTCTAATAGGATGCCGAGATATTCAAGGATTTACTGTCATTTACTTTTCCTTTTTTTTTTTTTTTTGTTAAGTTTTTCGTATTGCTCACAAAGTTTTGGTGGGTTTTACTTTCTTGTCTTCTTGATTAGACTGCCGTATCTTGGAATCTATGACACTCTATATTCTGAAAACGACATTCATTTGTTGTACAGGTGAAAGGCGTTGTGGGATTTAAAACAAAAATGTATTTCCTGCTGGAACAACCGGAAGGTATTGGACAGGTAGAATGCAGCGGACAACAAAAAGATGCTCTCCTAGGAGAGCCGGTACGCGTTGCAATATCTATTAATATTCACGATGGTCACCAGGAAGAACTGATCAGCAATCCTTCAAGAATCTAATTAATATTTCCTGAAATAAATTTTAGATTTTCTTTACAACCAGAAAGGTATTCTTTAACTTTCAGTTGTGGGAGAAACATTTATTGTTCATATCTATCTATCTATCTATCTATCTATCTATCTTGTCGCTCTGTCTGTCTGTCTGTCTGTCTATCTATTAAACTATAGTGTCTCTCAGTCTATATTGTCTCTTCATCAATATCTATATCTATCTATCTATCTATCTATCTATCTATCTTGTCTGTCTGTCTGTCTGTCTGTCTGTCTATTCATCATCAAACTATAGTGGCTCTCAGTCTATATTGTCTCTTCATCAATATCTATCTATCTATCTATCTATCTATCTATCTTGTCGCTCTGTCTGTCTGTCTGTCTGTCTATCTATCAAACTATAGTGTCTCTCAGTCTATATTGTCTCTTCATCAATATCTATCTATCTATCTATCTATCTATCTATCTATCTGTCTGTCTGTCTGTCTATCTATCAAACTATAGTGTTCTCATCTATATTGTCTCTTCATCAATATCTATCTATCTAGACAATCTATCTATCTATTTGTCTATATTTTCTCTTAAATGAATCTATCTATCTATCTATCCTCAGACAATGGTGTGTCTTGTCTATATTTTGTCTTCATCTACCTATATTACCTATTTATCTATCTGTATGTCTATCTATTTATTCTCACTATCTATCTATCTATCTATCTATCTATCTATCTATCTATCTATCTATCTATCTATCTATCTGTCTTGTCGCTCTGTCTGTCTGTCTATCTATCAAACTATAGTGTCTCTCAGTCTATATTGTCTCTTCATCAATATCTATCTATCTATCTGTTTGCTACAGTTTCTATCTAAATGAATCTATCTATCTATCTATCTATCTATCTATCTATCTATCTATCTATCAGACAATGGTGTCTCTTTGTCTATATTTTCTCTTCATCTATCTATATTACCTTTCTGGCTGGCTGTCTATCTATCTATCTATCTATCTATCTATCTATCTATCTATCTATCTATTTAGTATCACTATCTATCTATCTATCTATCTATCTATCGTTTGTATCTATATTGTGCCTCTGTCTATCTATATTGCCTCTATATCTATCTATCTTGGTTCTGTATCTATCTATATTATCTATGTATCTATCTTGTCTCTTTGTGTGTTCTTAAACTCGCCGCCATGAGAACGAGAAAGTAACAGTAAAGAGAGAAGCACAGACGTGAGGGAAATATAATATATATATATATATATATATATATATTACTTTTTAATCTGCTATGATAATTCGATTTCCCTCACTTCTGTACTTCTCTCTTTATTGTTACATATATGTTTCAAAGTGTTATGGCCGTAAACCTTTGTCATGGTAACAGTGATATAGTAGCGATATACTTGCAACATTGTGTCTGTGGGGAAAAGAGGCTGGAGTGGCGGCAAAATAAGCGAGGTAGGGAGAAAAAAAATAATGGAAGAGGGGGTAAGAAGAGAGAGACCCAGAGAAAAATACAATTAGAACGAGTGATAAAGAAATTATGAGCGGAAAGAAAGTTTAAAAAAGAGAGAGTGGGAAGAAAAAGATAGGACCAGATACAGGCGAACAGAGAAATTAAGACCACGGAAAATGTAACGCAGAAATTCGTATAGCGAATGTTCAGGAAAAGGTTATTAAAGTTTCGAACCACGGATACTTACAAAAAATTGCATTGAGCTAGTGCATAAAATGACAAAAGGGAGTAAGACAAGGATGCGTTATCTCTCATGATTTATTTAACCTATACGGTGACATCACACTGAAAAAACCGGTTCTCGTAATACCAACGAAATTGTGCAACGTCGAGCCCGGTCCGTTTGGTTTGGTTTGGTTTGGTTTATTTTACGGTATATCAACCTGAATGGGTTATTTAATACCGACGAGAATTTTATTGTTGGTAATATTTTCTTTTCAAAAATGTAGTACTCTTTTCCTCAAAGATTGCATTGTTTGTAATATTTTTCCTTTAAAATTTTATTGCTGGTTTTAAAACCTATTTTTATTCTTTTATAGTGTTTTAATTCCAGTTTGGGGGTTAACTATTTACCCATAGCTGGAACCTTAACAGATGCTACCAACCCGGGAACTGGAAACACCAGAAATTAAGAGGTTGTTCCTCGCTCCTCGAAACCACCTGATAAGAGGTCTTGCTGCTGGACAAAGTTTATCGTCTTACCCAGGATGTGTATGTAGTTTATCGTTTTACACAGGACGGCATTTGGTTTGGTTTGTTTGTTTAATGGCATATCAACTCCATATGGGTCATTTTCGACCGGGATTTTATTTTGTGAGCATTGGTATTTTTTCAAGAAATATAATTTCTGGTACTTTTTTCTAAAAACCTATTGCTGGTAATGTTTTAATATTTTACTATAAAAATGCATGGCTGCTAATGTTTTATTATTTTACCATAAAAATGTAGGGCTGGTAATGCTCAATTATTTTACTATAAAAATGTATCGCTACTAATAATTTCTTATTTTACAGTAAAATACATTGCTGGTAATGCTTTATTATTTTACTATATAATGTATTGCGGGTAATGTTTTATTATTTTACTATAAAAACGTATGGATGGTAATGTTTTATTATTTTACAATAAAATGCATTTATGGTAATGTTTTATTATTTCCCTATAAAAATGTATGGATGGTAATGTTTTATTATTTTACTATAAAATGCATTGCTGGTAATGTTTTATTATTTTACTATAAAAATATATGGATGGTAATTTTTTATTATTTTACTATAAAAATGTGTGGATGGTAATGTTTTATTATTTTACTATAAAAATGTATGGATGTTTAATTTTTATTATTTTGTTTTATTATTAATAAAAATATATGGATGGTAATTTTTTATTATTTTACTATAAAAATGTGTGGATGGTAATGTTTTATTATTTTACTATAAAAATGTATGGATGGTAATGTTTTATTATTTTACTATAAAGTGCATTGCTGGTAATTTTTTATTATTTTACTATTAAAAATGTGTGGATGGTAATGTTTTATTATTTTACTATAAAAATATATGGATGGTAATTTTTTATTATTTTACTATAAAAATGAATGGATGGTAATGTTTTATTATTTTACTATAAATATCTATGGATGGTAATGTTTTATTATTTTACTAAAATATGTATGGATGGTAATGTTTTATTATTTTACTATAAAAATGAATGGATGGTAATGTTTTATTATTTTACTATAAAGTGCATTGCTGGTAATTACTTTACTATAAATATCTATGGATGGTAATGTTTTATCATTTTACTAAAATATGTGTGGATGGTAATGTTTTATTATTTTGCTATATAATGCATTGCTGGTAATGTTTTATTATTTTACTATAAAAATGCAATGCTGGTAATGCTTTATTATTTTGCTATAAAAATGCATTGCTGGCTATGTTTTATTATTTTACTATAAAACATGTGGATGCTAATGTTTAATTATTTTGCTATCAAAATGAATTGCTGGTTATGTCTTATTATTTTACTATGAAAATAAATTTCTGGTAAGGTTTTCAAATGTATTTTTATATTTTCCTGTTTTGACCTCAACTTGGAGGGTTCACTTTTTTCCCATAGCTACTCCGGGTCATGGTGTACCTGGGAAAAAAAGCAATGAATAGGTGGTTTTACGCCGTAAACGTGGATGCGCGGGTGGTATAAAGGAACAATGGCTCAGAATTTCATCTTGGAGATTCGATTTACAATTCCCGTTTTGTCGTTATATTCCGTTACGCGCAAATAAACTTGGTGGAATCCATCTCTTCAACCGACAGCTTCATTCTTATTTTTTGTATTAATGTTCCCCCTGTATAAGGTCCGGAGTCACTTGCAGGAGGGGGTTGAGTCAGGAGACAATTTGGTTGGATACGATAAAGTTAATCCTAGACATCAACAGGTTGAATGTCGCGATGGAGGAAACTGTCTCTTGGGGGTCGGTTCTACAGAGCAGTGGTTCGCAGGAAGAAGCTTTTCAAGTGGAAATTCTCATTGATGGAATACGTAGAGAATGTGGGTGGGCAGTTTTCCTACTATGTAAGTGGCATGGCCTGTCTTTGCCGTGCAGGTTTGAACTGGTGGAACCAGGGAATGTTGTTCGTCCCAGCACTTTCTATAGAAATAGCGACAGGGTAGCGAGAGGCTTGCCGCATCCCGCTTGTGTGTGTGTGTGAGAGAGAGAGAGAGAGAGACAGAGAGACAGAGAGAGTGAGAGGATGGAGGGTGGAGAATAATTCATCACCCACAAGTGAGTAAGAATTGTATCACTAAAACATTATTATCTAAACAAAAATAATTCTCGTAACCTAAACATATTTTCTTGCTTTAAGTGACCTGAAAAGGCTCGATAAACCGTTTAAAAATAAATCAATCAAACCGCGTTTCGGCCAGGTATCCTCTGACGATCATCAGATCTCCACTGTTTGGCTGATATAGAATATCTGTTAATTAATGTGTTAATTTGTACCTGTGATGCCTGTCCTTGTTTCTTCTTGCTGAAACACTGTATATTATTTACGGCCTTATTCAGTGATTGCTACCACAACGACTCCATCCTTGTGCAAAATAATTGAAACAGGACGAATAATTCTATTATTATTTCCAATGAAACATAACTCAGTGCAGATGTTAGTAATTCTTAGGTTTATTCCTGGTAGATTGACCACTGATTCTCGATTGTATTTACATCAGGAGAGTTTCTGTGCCAGTCTATAGTACTTTGATTTTCTCACTGGCAAGGCTTGCCAGTGTCTTCGTGCAGCGTTACAATTTTCGTACGCTTTCTTGGAGTAACGTCCCTCGCAGACAATGGGTGTAGGACTACTAATCGACAGTCGAGACAATAGTATCTGGGAGTGATAAAAATCTGATGCAATCATGGTTGACGCAATATTTTTCAATGGCAAAATTTCATCACAAACACCGAAAATAGATTCATATTACTGTACACCACTACAAATGACGTAACCCGAGACAAAAAGTGAAATCCATTACACCCTGTCACTCGAGTGGTCTAAACTTGAACGTATGGTGGAAGAAAGGAAGCTAAATACTTTGCACAAGAATGTAGGTAGCAATATCACGTGTTTAACTAATTCCTATATCCTAGCCGTCAACCAAATGTTACCTGTGGTGTGTTTTGGTCACTTTATATTCAGTGTTATATATTTTTTTATATTTCATTTTTGAGATGAGTAATTTCAAACATACTTTAATTAAATCGAGGTAATGTTCTTATCTTGGTTGTTATTATAGGCACAACGTTTCGAACAAATACGTTCTGGTCATTATCAGTTGTCCAGATTTTGACTGATTGATTATTCTGTTGTTTTGACCCTGTTTTACCAGCTATTCTTTCCTGCTGAACCAGTGCTCCACTGTAAATAAATCCTACCTCTTACATTGGGGCTTGCATGAATATATTTATTGTTTAGTTTTGGAGTTGATCACATTACAATATTAGCTAAATCTGCTAGTTTTGCTGATGAAATATTAAAGCTTTTGAAATATTTTTTATAGTTTCTC